CCCCCCCCCCATCCCCTCATTATTTGGGTCCCCTTAACCCTCCCTCCTCCATTACATACTGCTCCATTTCTTCTGCATATTTATTTTCTGCTTCCCACCCCCTCTCTTCATGGTTTCAGTATCTCAAAAGTACAATATAAACACAACAGAGCCAAAACTTCAGACAGAGTATCGGAAACCTGGTTTCAAGAATGGGGTCAGGCAGTTTTGTAGATACTAATATTTTTGTTAAGAAATGTTATTTCATGCGGTTTCTTTACATTCACTTTTTGTTTTCTGATTTCTTAAATTAAAATCAACGAAAATGTCTAGACCCCAAAAAGGAAACTCGGGAGTTTGGTTCAACGAAACTCTCTTAAATTTCCGACTCTTTAATTAACCCGTGTACACCAGAATATATATATACAAGCACCGTATGTACGCTGTACATAACTATCTAATTTTACCTCATGTACTCTCTCTCGTGAGAGACTGGCGACAGAAACCTTTTCATGTACTTTGCAGCTGTCGGTTGAACAGAGTCCATTCTAAAATAGTTAGGTATACTGTGGTGTACACTTGTACAGTGTACAGTGTACAGTGTACACTTGTACAGTGTACACAACTTTATGGTATAAAAAATGTTTATAAATAAACGTCTTCTTAATTTTAAAAGTATTTTTTGGAGAGAAGATTTATTATTCATTCCCCTTTTCCATCTGTAATCAAAGTTACGAGGGGGGGGGGATAAAATACTTATTCTTGTATAATCCATAACTGATTTTTTTATGAACTAACATTTTCTGCAAAAAGTAAAATAAAGTTTTATTCAGCATGGAAAAATGTTGAAATAAATAAACTCTTTTTTCCACCTTCTATCTACTAAAATAAAATTTAATATAGTGAATGGTTCTCGAAAATTTAAAAGTAAAAATATAAAATTTAACTGGCAAATGTATGATACTTTTAACCCAAAATACTGGGGGGGGGGTATTTTGAAGGGAAATATTTTAAAAATTACCTTGATCTTCCTCCACCAGGGGGCTCTCTAGCAATCATATTCAAATGTCCATTGGTCTTCGCCTAATAAAATAAATATTTTAAAAAAAATCATAATTGTGAATACGAAGTCCAGAATATTATGAATAAAAGTTGAATTATTTAACAACTATAAGTGGATCGTCGAAGATTGATTGAGTGATGTGTTCACAACGATACCCTTTAATACCTTTTTTTAAATTTACGTTCCCACTCCCTTTAAGAACAAAGTATTTAACTGCTTAACAGTTTAACTAAAGGTGAAAAATGAGAAATGGTTGAACTGATCTTTGCCAAGTTTTCTTTTTTCCTGCCATTATAAATTGACAGCCTATTCCAGGGGGTTCATCTATTTGTGGCATATTTAATGGAAAAAGGTGCTATTTGTGGCAGATGTATTGGAATAAGGTGCTATTTGTGGCAGATATATGGAATAAGGTTCTATTTGTGGCAGATATATGGAATGAGGTACTATTTGTGGCATATTTAATGGAAAAAGGTAAAATTTGTGGCATATTTAATGGGAAAAGGTACTATTTGTGGCATATTTAATGGAATAAGGTACTATTTGTGGCATATTTAATGGAAAAAGGTACTATTTGTGGCAGATGTATTGGAATAAGGTGCTATTTGTGGCATATTTAATGAAATAAGGTACTATTTACATGGCATATTTAATGGAAAAAGGTACTATTTGTGGCATATTTAATGAAATAAGGTACTATTTGTGGCATATTTAATGGAAAAAGGTACTATTTGTGGCAGATGTATTGGAATGTGGCATATTTAATGAAATAAGGTACTATTTACATGGCATATTTAATGGAAAAAGGTACTATTTGTGGCATATTTAATGAAATAAGGTACTATTTGTGGCAGATGTATTGAAATAAGGTACTATTTGTGGCATATCTAATGGAAAAAGGTATTATTTGTGGCAGATTTAATGGAAAAAGGTACTATTTGTGCCAGTTGTATTGGAATAAGGTGCTATTTGTGGCATATTTATAGAAAAAGGTACTATTTGTGCCAGATGTATTGGAATAAGGTGCTATTTGTGGAATATTTAATGGAAAAGGTACTATTTAAGGCAGATGTATTGGCATAAGGTACTATTTGTGGCCGATGTATTGGAATAAGGTGCTATTTGTGGCAGATATAAGAAATAAGGCGCTGTTTGTGGCAGATGTATTGAATAAGGTGCTATTTGTGGCAGATATAAGGAATAAGGCTCTGTTTGTGGCAGATGTATTGGATAAGGTGCTATTTGTGGCAGATATATGCAATAAGGCGCCGTTTGTGCCAGATTTATTGAATAAGAAGATATTTGTGGCAGATTTATTGAATAAGAAGATATTTGTGGCAGATTTATGGACTAAGATTTTATTTTTGGCAATTTTTTTTTTGAAAAATATGCTGTTTGTTGAACAAAGTGCTATTTGTGACAGATTTTGTTGAAAAAAGTGCTATTTGTGGCAGATTTTGTAAATAAAAAGTGTCATTTGTTGCAGATTTATGAATTAAGGTGCTATTTGAGGCAGATTTTATGGAATGAAGTGCTATTTGTGGCATATTTATTGACTAAAATAATTCTTGTAGCAGATTTTATTGTCTTGGACCCTTTTATGACAGATTTTATGATTCTTAATGTTGTTATGCTGTGTGACATTTTTTTTGGGTGTAATGGGTTTATATTGTACAATGTTCACCCAGATTAATCCTAGATCAACTCTATAAGATACTATATTATAAAATAATACAAGACTTGAAAAATGCTGCCTTTCCTTAATATTTTCATTTTCCCCATCTATGGGGGGGGGGTTAATTATTTTTCCAAGCCTGGAGTTGGACGTTTAAAAAGTATACTAGAACAAGATGATTAATAACAACACTTTCACATTCAATATAAACATCTAGTGTGGTCCACAGGATTTGTGTAGGGTCAGGTAGGGTAATTTTGTGGTCCAGTAGGGTTATTGTGTGGTACAGTAGGGATATGGTGAGGTAAAGGAAGGGATATGTGAGGTACAGTAGAGATATTTTGGGGTACAGTAGGGATATTGTGTGGTTCAGTAGGGTTATTGTGTGGTACAGTAGGGATATTGTGTGGTACAGTAAGGATATTGTGTGGTACAGTAGGGATATGGTGTGGTAAAAGAAGGGATATTGTGTGGTACAGTAGGGATATTGTGTGGTACAGTAGGGATATTGTGTGGTACAGTAGGGATATGGATATTGTGTGGTACAGTAGGGATATTGTATGGTACAGTAGGGATATTGTGTGGTACAGTAGGGATATTGTGTGGTACAGTAGGGATATTGTGTGGTATAATAGGGATATTGTGTGGTACAGTAGGGATATTGTGTGGTACAGCAGGGATATTGTGTGGTACGGCAGGGATATTGTGTGGTATAATAGGGATATTTTGAGGTACAGTAGGGATATTGTGTGGTACAGGGGTATTTTCATACCCTCCATAACCAGATCCCTACTCATCCTTCCCATTCCTTAGCTAGCCCTCCCCAAGGTTATATGCAAGGAAAGTTATTTCAGAGGTGACACGCATCTTTTGTACTGCAGTGTACTGTCTCTGGGCGGTAATGTAAACAAAAGACAGATGTCACAGCCTGACATGGGATTCATCTTTCACATAAAAAATCAATGAAATATTCTGGTCAAAGAATATTATTATGTGAATTATCAAAATAATCAAAATTAAATGCTTTTATCCTCCTCGGATACTAAACGAACACTGATGCATCTATTTTTGTTTACAATTCCGCCCAGAGAGAACTGGTTACAATATGTACACAGAGCATACGCAACTGCAATTAACTTTCCTTGCATTATAACCTTGGCCCTCCCTACCTCTCCCAATCCAATTCTAATGCTAACCTTAGTTTCTATCTGTGGAGACCCAGGGTGTGAATTAAGAGCTGTAAGATGTCCCAGAGACTTGGACTTCTTCTTCATCGACATAATCGAGTGCTTTTGGAACATCTTGCCGACATCCGGGAGATCTGACGTCACTAGAACAGCTGGTGACGTCACAGAAATTGCGGATTTATAGTCATCTTATTAGCAGATTTATCTGTCTGCAGTGCACACAGCAGACGCATTATGGATCCTAAAATACGCAATTTTTAAACTTTGAATATTAACGTTTTAACAACCGACAAATTTAAACTGTAATTTTGCGCTTTTTTGCTTGGACTTCACCATTAACAGGTTGGAGTAGGGAGGGGGAGGATAAAACGTGTCTGATATTTGGACATTTAGAAAATAATGAAAGTCTTGATATAACATGTATTTTTACATCTAACTAGAAAATAGGACTTTTTACAACTATGGACAAAGATATTAAACTGTCAGATTGTCAGATTGTTAGATTCCCAGATTGTCAGATTGTCAGATTGTCAGATTGCCAGATTGTCAGATTCCCAGATTGTCAGATTGTCAGATTGTCAGATTGTCAGATTGTCAGATTGTCAGATTGTCAGATTGTCAGATTGTCAGATTGTCACATTGTCACATTGTCAGATCGACAACATGTTACTTTTTCGTTAAAGAATAAAAACCGAAAATTGATTGATTATACACAGGCATAACTTTTTTATTGTTTAATACATTTTTAACGACCTAAACGCAATAAAATAAGGTTAAAATATCCTGCTTTATAATATTTAACTTATTTTGTATCGTATCGTATTTATTATAGTCTGGTATTGAATGTAAAACAACACTCTTTCTTCTGGTAATTCAATTCTGCTAGCTTGCATTATTTCAGGTTTTAATATAATCCTATCTATCTATCTATCTATCTATCTATCTATCTATCTATCTATCTATCTATCTATCTATCTATCTATCTATCTATCTATCTATCTATCTATCTATCCACTCCCAGTAAAAGTTTGAAGCCGAGAGGAGCAGATTATGTTGGTGCTTTAAACCCACATGTATCTGAAGGAAAACAACAACAAAAAGTCCATTTTACCAAGTTCTGATTGAAGAAAAACATCAAAAATAATCAAAAATTCTCAACTTATAAAAGATCTAAGTAATGACACTAGAGATGAAGAGGTGAAAAGACCTGGAAACTTTCATGTACATTTTGTTAATCTTGAACGCTAGATCTCGATATCCATTGGGGGAAATTTTGAATGTGAGGATTAATACTTCATCCCTAATTAAAGTTATCACTGCATGGCAATTCGTAGAACTTAATCCATAATTAAAGTTATCACTGCATGGCAATCCGTAGAACTTAATCCCTAATTAAAGTTATCACTGCATGGCAATTCGTAGAACTTAATCCATAATTAATGTTATCACTGCATGGCAATCCGTAGAACTTGAGATTGAGATCAATATACTCGATCTCAAAATTCACAACAAATAATTCTGACTCAAACTTGAAAGAAAAACTGGTTTCGTAAACTTGATAATCATTTTAAAGTTTTTGTCTCACCGAAGAACAATAAAGTCTCGTGTTTTTTGTTCTAACAAAAACAAGATTTGATTTCATTTTATCAAACATCTCATTTATTATTATCAAGAATTACGTGTTCTTTATCTTATTGTATATAAGTGTGACTACACTGTCGTGTGTAGTACTTTAATAAATAACAGCCATTAAGTTTTCTAAGAACGTTTACTGTTTACTGTACTTGATAAAAAGCTGCGGACACTTGAAGGGACTAAAGGAGACATAATTTACAATAACCCTCTGTAAAGAAATAGAAAAACAGAGGAATGCCCGATGCACAACGGTACTTTCTATTGTGACAAGTTTCATTGGGTTTGAAGCATTAAATCCGCAAGGTCAGTTTTTACAGAAGAATTATCAGTTTTTAAATAGAAACATTAAGATGATATCCTATTTATCCTTCATCAGACAAAGATTTAAAGGTACAATTGTGAATCAAACATACCAGTACCACTTGAAATTTCGCCTATAGTCCCTTGTAATGTGAGAAAAAAAAGATGTCATGTTAAACTTTTATTTTAAAAAAATGGCACACAAAACCAAACCTAAAGTATTGCGTGTAATGACAGAAAGCCAAGATTACCTAAAATCTTCAATTCTGAAGGAAAAAACTGGGTGTGGTGTTAATTCACAGAAGACGGGGGGGGGGGGGGGGGGGGGGTAGGGGATAATATTTAGGAAATTGTAAAAACTAGAAAAACACTCCCTAGTCTCGTCAGTATTGACATGCAATACTTTATCCAAAGAAAAAAAATGATCCTAGGTCGGGGTTTTCTTTAGGACAAAAACAGTTCCATTTTTAGGGAAACAAAAGTAAAGTACGTTCACTTATGCCATTACAAATTTTTTAACCAAACAAAAAAAAAATTTATTCGTGGTTTTGTTTAATATCAAATTTTAATTTTAAAAGTTTAGGATAACGTTTCTTTATATATCAGACCCTTTCTATTTCTTTCATAACCCCCCCCCACTCCTCCAAGTTTTTGTATCATACCCCCCCCTCTCCCCAACACTCCTCGATCAATCCAAAGGATCATGAAACAAATAGCAAAGCATAGCATGGCATATACAATTATCTAAATTCTTTGTTTCAACAAGCCTGGTTAAAAACCTAGATTTTCATGATGAGGGGGGGGGGGAGGGAGGAGTTAAGGGAGAAACTCAAAAAAGTGTAGAATTATTAAGATTTCCGAGAAGGTTGGGAAACAATACTTATAAAGGAACGGGGGCAATATTTATGAAGGAACGGGGGCAATATTTATGAAGGAACGGGGGCAATATTTATGAAGGAACGGGGGCAATATTTATGAAGGAACGGGGGCAATATTTTTGAAGGAACTGGGGATGACAGAACAATAATTTTTTTCACGCGATTTTAAAATTCTAACACCAGTTTGTGATACCGACCCTCTGTACTAAAAATGTATCATACTTTCAAAAAAACATTTTTTATCGACAAACTAAAATATTCAATAAAAAAAATTTTAATTAAAATAAAGTTGAAAATATTTAGCCCTGTGTCTCTATCTCTCGATCTTTCTATCCTGATTCTGCGACTCATTGATCTGAATTTGATCTGATTTTAATTAAATGATATTTGACTATGTGCGCAGAACTGTAATTCAAGAGCACACAAGCAAACCCGGTAATTTAGGGCGCAACTTAAATCAAACGCGGCATTAGCACAGCTTGCAATATTTTCACATTTATGTGTACAGCAGTAGGTCAAAGTGTACAAAAATGAGTGTACAGAATAACTCAAAGTGTACAGCAATTAGTCAGTACGTGTACAGCAATAAGCCAAAGTTTACAGCGATGAGTCAAACTGTGCAGCAATTAGTCCAAGTGTACAGCGATGAGCCAAAATCTACACCGTACATTGATGAGTGAAGTGTACACCAATGAGTCACGATGTACAGCAATCAGACAAATTGTAAAGCATTGAGCCAAATTGTACAGCAAGAAGTCAAATGTAAACTGAACAATATTAATTCACATGTACAGCGATGAGACAAAGTGTACAACATTAATTCAAAAGTGTACAGTGATGAGTCATCGTGTACAACATGAGCTAAAATGAACAGCAATACGTCAAAGTTTACAGCGATAAGCTAAACTGTACATAAATGAGCCAAAGTGTTAAGTGATGAGTAAAATTGTACAGCAATGAGTCAAAGTGTATAAGATTGAGTCAAAGTGTACAGTGATGAGTCAAAGTGTACAGTGATGAGTCAAAATGTACAGCGATGAGCCACGATAAAGTCAAAGTGTACACCAATGAGTCAAAATGTACTGCGATGAGCCAAAGTGTACACTTATAGCAATAAGTCAAAGTGTACAGCAATTATAATTTACATAAAAGTGTAAAGTTTTAAGCGGAGAAAGCTTTTTAGATCCATAAATCATTAAAAAAAAATCCAAAATAGAAATAAAACAATAAAGCAGCTAAAAACAAACAGATGTGCCTATAAAAGGCCTCGAATTTGAGATGTATATGGATGGAAATAACTCAACTTAACATAACCCAAGGTCATTTACTCATTAATATACATCAGACATAGACAGATAGATAGACAATAGACAGACATACGTCAAACAGATAGACAGATATACTTCAGACACAGGCAGAGGGTTAAATACAGATCTAATAGCCCAAACATCCGCTAATAAAAAGCTCTATGAAAAAGTTCGCTCTTTTAGAGAACCACAAATTGAAAAAAATCAACTATTGAAGAAAACATGGATATTTCTAAAATTCTTTTATTTAGAAACTTTTAGGAGTACAGTTGTGAATCAAATCTGCCACTTTTTAGGATCATTTGAACTTGCATCTATAGGTCGATCCTTTAACATGTGGATCAGTAAACTAAACAATAGAAGTAACAAAATAATATAATTTTAGTATTTTTCTAAATATTTCTCGGTCGGACCGACAAGAGCTAGAAAGTTCAGTTCGACAAATGGAGAGCTGCCTAGATGGGCAATTAGATAAACAAAAAATGTTTGGTTAAAAATTTCGGACAAAATAGAAATTTTAGTTAAAATTTTAACATTCTTGGAGGAGGAAATAGCATTCCAATCAACCTCCCCCACCCCAGCACCTCAATCTACTATCTGTTTGTTTCTACCTAAAAAGTGTTAAATTCTAATATTTTCCTTCTTTATCTCCACTGCATAATTCCGCACGTAGCTTAAGTAGAAAACCACATTTGAAAAGTATCAATTTTCAGGTAAAAAAACAGGAATATTTTAATTATTTTTGCTTCGACAAAGATTTTCAGGGTAGCGATATAAATTGGCAAATATAGCTACCAAACTCACTTTAACAAATTATAAAATCTGGGTGGGACAGGGTGTGGTCTGTATCCACTGTATGGGCCCCAGGTTACAACAACGCAAAAGAAATTAAAAAATTTGCATGAAAGTGTTCAACCACAATCTGACAATCTGACAATCTGACAATCTGACAATCTGACAATCTGACAATCTGACAATCTGACAATCTGACAAGAAATTAAAAATGTTTCACGAAAGTGTTCCAACCAATCTTTGCTTTTCTAGCACATTAATTAATTTTTTTTTGATTTCTTGTTAGTTTTGCATTTTAATTATTGAATTTAAGGAACTCGCAGAAAACT